CTCTTGTGAAACTGGAACATACTCGTCAAGCCATCATGGTGAAACCTATCAAGTCGAGAAAGGGCTGTCTAGATGGGTCGACACGTCGATTGGAAGTCGTTAAAGTGCAAAATGCCCCCCGTCGCCAAACAGCGCCCTTCTCACTCATGCACCCTCACTTGCTCTGGGCTACCTGAAGTCAAGACTTAGCCTAACTTTTAGGAACTATACAATACCAAAAAGCTCGTGAACTGTCGTAAGAAGAGTCTATCAAAGTTTACAAGAATTGTAAGCCAACACTTACTTGCACTAGCAACTCCAACGAAAACCGCAAGAAAAGTTCGTCTCAGCATCTGTATTAGCGGCATGAATAATTGAACAACTTATTGAAAGTATAACTTCATGAATAACGATAAAGTCATTATGAGTGTCAGTCAATGGGGTATGGGGTTTGATACGGTGCCAGCTTGTTTTCCACCACTCGTTGAACGACCAAAGCAGCAATGAAAGACGGAAAACGGGCTGGCACCGCTTCATATCCCGCGCTGTGATGACGTGCCCCGGCGCACTTCAGAAATAATGACTTTAATACAAGACCAAGAAGCTCTATAAGTGTACATGAAGAATTTCGAGTTGAATAAGGGCTCCTTATCTTTGGACCGGATGGACCCTGAAACGCTCCTTATCACCGAGAGAAAAGCTGCTTATCCGGTCACTGATCTGTGTGTTTCGAAAGTCTGCTCCTTTCTCATGATTTTTTATCAGCAATTCCCAGGCGGAAAAATCCATATCAGCGTGGTGCAGTCCTGTCGAAGCTGTTCTGGTCGAAGACTAGATCACACTATGACGGAGCTAACTTCCAAAAGAGGGCCAGCAGTTCCGAAAATTTTCGCGAGTAGGAGGGGCGGTAGACATTTTTCCTATCAGAAGTAGTTTTGCAAAGCCATCAACTAGGGGTGTAAGGTGCACACAGCGCGCGGAAACGGTGAAAATTAACAAACTTTTCAATTAGAGAATTTTCCCCTAAAAAAACTACGATCCCAACAGTGTTTTGCATTGTTCTGCGCAAGCGGATGCTCCTATAAAATGGATGGTGGTGACCGTTTTTGCAAACCGGCACAGCGAGCCTTCAAAAACAGCCAGTCTTATTATGAACCTGGATTAGCAGATTGAGTTGACCCGTGGCGGTTCGCGCGGCTCGCGTGACGATGCACATGGCCTAGTCGAATTGTGTGTATCAGTCATCAATTGTTCAACATAAGGATGGGCATGCGAAAAAAAAAGGGCTTTGCAGGACACTGTCTTTTGAAATATCCCGATTAATCGCTTCGCCGAGATACCGCGTGTCGAGCTTACCAGCATTATTGCATAGCTTAGTGGCGCTTACACCGCGGGCCCTCTCGCCCACCGCTTGACACTTACCCATAACCTGACATCGTTATGGCCAAATATCGCAGATTGCTTGGCCAGAGGGCACACAAATGGGACCCAGCGAAATACTGTACAGGCACACTTTGGGGAGACTCGGGTAAATTCTTTGTAAGTGGATCGGTTCTACCCTTCTTCGCGCAGTTCACAATAGTATTACAGATCTTCACCAAAATAGTACCGTTCAGCTTTAACATGAACTAAACCAACTGAGTGAACGGGACTCACAGAAATGCCACTCCAAAGCCGAACAGCGTTGAATATTTGCTTAATTCACGTTTTTTCTTATTGTTCTGTTCTTGTAAATGCTATTATTCCATCTTGAGATTCCAAACTTTCTTTGGTCCTTGCATCGCAACAATCTGATTCAATCAATACATATATTTTTTATTGTTGTTCCCAACGAGATACGTGGTGACACCGAATTCGTACCACAAATGAGTGCGAGGGGAAAAAAGAACAGTTAAAACTAATATATAAATGCTTATTATATGCGACATTGTGCTAAATCAAATAACAGTACATATCTTAGCGGCACTCAGCAACAGTCGCTAACATTTACAAACATTCTGCAAGAACAAGAGGAGCAGGAACAGATAGTGTTGTACCCGCAGCTTCTCCGGGAACACAACAACAGTCAGAACAACGAGGAGAGTGTAGGTGTTTGGAAGAGAGGACAGACGCGCACGGAACCAACTAGGAACAAACCAACGATGAGGCCGAGTTCATACCAAGTGACACTGCAGAGGAGGGAAATCGCGGAATCAGGGGATCCTCTTCTCAACAGGGGAGGAGCAAATCGATACGTATCTAATTTCTTGCGGATTACTGCCCGGATCGACATGTCTTCTCGCTTCCTTATCGTGGATTCCCCGAAATCGCGATTTTTTCGACTTTCTAGCGCCGCAGGGTGAAAACGGGGTCCAAAGGAGAATTTTACAGCTTCCTAGCCTAAAATACAGATTAAGTTGAGAACCGAGATGAGAACATTGGATACAAAACAGTTGAAGTTAAACGAGGAACAAAGAAAACCAATAGATCGCAATTGGGCAGATACAAAACAAGACTAAACATGTGTGGTTCATGACATCCGTGATGCGACGTCGCGCGCAAACTAGCCAGATCTCCTAGCTAGTTTACTCAATATAGCACCGTGGCGTTAGATCAATTAGGCCATACGTTCTCTACTTTTTATTTAGGCCTCACCTCAAAAAAAACTCTACAATCGATAAAGTGTTTTCTGTAAAATCTTTCTTCCAGTTCCAGTTTGGGGGATAGATCACGCAATTTTATAATTGAAACGTCGCAGTTGGGCTTGCGGGGGGGGGGGAAGGGGGACGGGGGCATTTGCATTTTGGCTACCTCCCATCGACGTGTCAAGACCGATGAAATCTATCAAGTGGAGACCAGTGAAATTCAATGAACCCACGATTTGTCAACGCTTGTAAGGTATACCTGTGAACTCTTGCAAAGCCATGAGCATGTCGATAGGAAGTAGCGAGTAGGCAGAATGCACCCACCCCTCCCCCCTAAGCCGAACTGCGGTATTGAAACAATTACCTGATGAACCCGATCTACTCAAAACAGAGGAAGCACTCCATCGGTTGTCAGATTTTCCGAAATAAAGCCGTCTATGAAAAGCTATAGGACCTAAGCAACCGAGAGCTAGCTGATCTGACTACAAGTTGCTATGTCGAGTCAACTAGCTAGTACGCTGGTATGCGTGCGATGCCGCGAACTCGGACTTCTTGAACCACACCCTAAAATATTCAGTGATGGAGAAGAGCCCAGTCATCTTTTGTCAGCTACAACAACATACCCAGTGCACTAAAGATCACAGTATACAAATTTCTTTGTAGGGGGAGAATAAGCTGCAATGAATGGAATCTGTTTGTTGAAAGGCAGTGAGGATGATGGCTGGGGGAGGGCAGTTGCTGCCAACGTCATTGGTGGAAGGGCTGAAAGGGGTGTGGCCAAATGCCTTCTCGCTGCTCCTTCCACCAATAAAGTTGGCAGTAATCGTCCGCCTCCTGCCATCCTGCCCACAGCCTTTAAATGCGCGACTAACCGGGCCAACATTTCTCGACGGCACAACTCAACAACACTTGAGCGCGTAACGGCGAACAGCTGAGGTCATATACACAACGAAAAATGGAGGGAGAGAGGAGGGGCAGAATGGGGACGTCCTATAACAGGCTCATATCAGATCCTTGTATCACATATATCGAGAAATCAACTCTTCGATGTAATCATTCAACATTCAAACACTACTAGTCGTCCATAGAACTACATACAATAAATTAAGTTTCAGGTGAGGCTCGACTTCTTTTCACGATTTCATCGTCAATGTCACCTGTTGACGGTCTTTTCCGTCGGGTCACTCCACATCCACCTTCTGTCGTTTCCTCCTCGCCACTGGTAGACGAGACATCATCGTCGCAGGGTGACAGATCGCCACCTGACGACGTCGCCGGTGCAGTTGTTTCAGCTGCTTTTTCCGAACTTGAACTCATCTGCACAGGGCTGCCTGTTGACGATGACGGTATTGAGTCGTTCGGTGCGCTGTTCTCATCTTCATCTGAGTCCGACTCATCGTAGTCAACCAGGGACTAAAATGCAAACATTTCGAGAGAATAACAATATGACAAGTGGGTGGGAGAGGGGCTACAGTGACCAGGAACTTTGCTGCCAACTGAGATGGCGATATGGTAAAGAATGGGGTGGCGATCAGACTTGCATTGACGCTACTCTTTTGAGACACAGTCCGCGACAATTGAATGGGGTTGAATTGAATTCACGATTAATGCAAACTCCTCTTCACGCGGCAAAGATGAGGCGGGCACCTTGTTCAATGGCCTCATGGCTCACCTGAGCCGTAAAAGGAGTGCACCAAGCAGGAAGGCACAATGACTGTGAGTCTCCGCCCATCCGGTTGTCGTGGAATGCGTCTTTAAGCTCATCCCTAAGGATATGAAACTTGTGTATGCACATGGAGTCCTACGAGTCTAGCAGGTGAGAGGTCTTTTATGCTACTTTCGAGTTCGCACTCATGCACAGTAATAGCTTAAGCCTAGGTTCCCACCCCAGCCCCCAGCCACAAATGCCCGTCATTTGCTTGCCAACACCTTTCACGCAGTCGTTAAAGGCAGTGGGCACAATTGCTGGAGACGGGCGGTTGCTGCCAACATCAGTGGTGGAAGGGCTGTGAGAGGGTGTTTGGCCACTCGCCCTCTTAGCGCTTCAAGCAATGACATCGGCGACAACCGCTCGCCCCTGCAATCGTGTCCACTGTCTAACTGAACTCACAGCTGAACCCAAACTCACAATGTTTGTGCACCTCACAAATTCATGAAAAGCCGCCCATTGATAAGATGCCTGTATTCCACACAACACCTGATATTTATTCCAGATCCTGGATAGGATGAGGGGAAAAATCCATTCAAAAGTGGTGGAGTGCGAGGCAACCCTGGTCATGAAGCGCTGTTTAGACGAGAAAGCCTGGACCACGAAAAGTAACGCGAGTAAAAGTGCCAGGCTCGAGCAATGCGCAGTCTAATAAATGTGCACCAAATGGATTCAAAACGCTCATAGGGTATCATTTTTCCCCCAGTTCATGCACAGGTATCAAAGACGCATCAAAAATAGACTTCAAAGCTCCAAATAACGTAAACAAGAAAGTGAACAAAAACAACTTCACAACT